TCACTATAATAGGATAGTTTGTGTTAGACATTCTTAAAAAGTAATGGCTATGCTAACTGAGACCAGTTTTCTGTTCTCTATGGAGTGTTTACAAATTTATTTTTTCATTAAAATATGGTCACAAGGATAGAGTCTCTTTACTGTCATAAATAAGACTGCATTGTTTGGCTCAATTTCAAACCTTCTGGTTCAGTGTCAAGAGCAAGGCTAAAAAAATTACTGAGCTAATGTGAAGGCCAATTCACATTAAAGGTTGCTGATTCCTTAAAAAGGAATTGTAATATATCTGTTACAGATAAAGACCAGAGTTCAACTAATAATAAAAAGTAACTGGAAGAAGAGAACTAGAAAACAAACTGGTTCTGCACTATTTTTTCATGCCAAAAACAAATGGAATATTTGGTTCACTGAGAACCTCTACATAGTAATAAAAGTTCTGCCCAGCTCCCCCGCTGCTCCCTGCCCATTTAAATAGTGAGTCATTGTTCCAGCCTACATTTGTATACAAATATATCTATGAACACTGGAGATAGGGTCTGGCTGGGAGCATAGAACACTCTAGCAAAGAAGGCAATGCACCATATCCAAAAGGAGGTCCCAGGACCCACGCAACAGGAATAGGTATCATCTGGCAGCTTTGTCACCCGCTACGTCAGTCCTGGGTCAAAGATTCAGAGCAGACTGAGAATGGGACTGTGCCCACAATGTCATTACAGGGTAAAGAGACCTGAGGTATATACCAGAAATTCAGAAGCAAGCAGCAGCTGTGTGACTCAGACCCCAAGAGCAGAATGCAGTCTCAGTTCCAGCTTCTAGATTAGCCTGAATCCTACAGAGGAAAAACCAGGGTAGGAATCCCAGACCAAAGGGAGCCCAGAGATCTGTATTTCTGAACCAGCAGAATTTCCTAGGTGGCTGACAAAGGCTGAGACCAACAGCAGTTTATTAGTGCTTAGACTCAAACTCAGGTCAAAATTTTGCAGTGGAAAGGGGGGTGGGAGGGTGGGTAGAGGGAAGATGATCATACTTTGTCCTGAATCAGACCATTTCAGGGGCACTGGAGGCCTGCAGGTCCCCAGCCTGAGCTGAGCTGTCCCTGAGGTCCTGGAAAAACACAACTCAATACCCAAAAAAGCCAATGACAAGATCAGCCTAGACCTTCCTTCCAGAAGTACTCAGAGTTTAGGCTTCACATAAAGTCTGAAGTCAGGAAGTAAGCTGGAACAATGAGCAAACAAATAAAGAATCCCACATTAAAAAAAACCAAACTATTTTTAGTGACAAGGACGCTTAAGACAGAAGCTTAGAAGAGAATGACTCCAAAACACCTAAAGCAAAGCCTCAAAGAAAAACACAGCTTGGCCACAAATTCAACTAGAATTCCCAAGAATTTAAAAACTTTCTATAAATGAAATAAGAACACTAGAGGAAAAAATTGGAAAAGAAACAAGAGCTATGGAAGAAAGAATCAGAAAGAGAATTATCAGCTTGGCAGAAGTACAAAACCTCGTCCAAGCAATAAGCTCCTTGAAAACTGAAAGGGGACCAAATAGAAGCCAAGTATTCTATGTAGCAACAAGAAACATTAAAACAAAATCGAAAGACTGAAAAACTAGAAGAAAATGTAAGGCATCTAAAGCAAAACAACTTACCTAGAAAATACATCAAGGAGAAAAAATTTAAGAATCACTGAACTCTCTGAACAACATAACACAACACAACACAACACAATACAATACAACATCATAACAAAAGCAAATAAGCAGAGGCAGCTACATGGTGCAGTGGACAGAGCACCAGCTCTGGAGTCAGGAGGACCTGAGAGTTCAAATCTGGCCTCAGACACTCAACACTCACCAGCTGTGTGACCCTGGGCAAGTCACTTAACCCCATTGCCTAGCCAAAAAATAAAAAAAAGGCAAAAAAAGAGCCTAGCTATCCTTTCTAGAGACTGTGTAATGTGAAAAGAACATGGGACTGAGAGCCAGGAAGCCTGAATTCTACTTGTCTTTGCCACTGAGTCATTGTATAACAAGCCACTTCTCCTCAGTTTTTTTTACCTATAAAACGAAAGGGTTAGACTAATTGATCTCTAAATTTCATTCTAGCTCTAATATTCTATGATCATAGTACAAAGATGGTTCCAGAAAAACTTCCAGTACCTTACTGATCTTATACTACACATACTTATACAATGCTTTATACCTATGATTAATAATTAACAGTGTCCTATGTTAAGGCTTATAAAATGCTTTCTTCACAGTAACTCTATAAGGAATATAATGAAAAGTATTATAATCATCATTTTCTGGATCAGGGCACTGAAGCTCACAGAAGTTAAACTACTTGCTCATAGTTAATGGCTCTCCTGTCAGCACTGCCATTCAGACCTAGGTCTTCTGAATGACTCCAGTGCTCCATTCCCTACAGAAGGCTGTCTCTTCTGTCTAGTATTACCTTAACTTGAGAGCTAAGGAAACTAATTCTTGGAAAAGATTAAGTGCTTGAGCCAGAAATTACACCTGGGTGGGTCTTCTGACTCCTACTCCAATATGCTTTCCATAATCCAAAGTTTATTTACCATTTTGCCGGGCCAGTTTGTGTTAAGGGGAAAAATAACTTACTCTACTGAATAGTAAATGGCAAAAAAGCTTATAGTTGAATCTCCCGACAAAAATATAACTTGCTACATCATGTCATGCAATTATAGTAGTATGCATTAGCTTTGTAGTTCTTGAGGGAAGCACAAAATCACACTGTTTTTAAGATATAGTACATATCATCTAGAAGAAAAAAAAATGGTTGTTCTGTCTAGTAGGAAAGATAAAACCTCTATTAGTCTATGATGCATTCTTTCACTTAAAGAAACATTAACTGCTGAGAAAGTTGGTGAAATTTACATTTCCTGAAAAGCACACATATACACACAAACATATGTGACATTTATAATTCTCAGTTCATGGTGGTACGCAATTAAATAGTACCTTAGAACTTTAACGCTAAATGTTACTTTTTCTACAGCTCAAGTAATCTCTTTTTCCTCTGAAATAGCATAGTAGCACTTTATACTTATCTTACTACACATTCAAGTCTATCTTACATTGCTGTTATTTGTAAAAAACTAACAGATGAAAGCAGTCTGCACCAAGAACCCTTGATCATCTTCCACTACACCAGGTTTCTTTCTCAATTAGGCTGTAAACTCTACAATGCCAAGAAGCTTGTCTTATTTTCCTATGTATTCTAACACTGACTAGTATACAGAAAACATTTAATAAATATTTGCTAGGTTAGTACTATGCAGGTTTAACATTTATTAGAAATGGACACTGCTAAATAACTGGTAAAATTATTAAAAGTATGTTCCCACAGTAAATTGCATTGTACTAAAAAAATACTAAGCTGCATTTTTCTGGCATAGTATAATTTCTTTACAAAACAGAGTTATAATACTGGTTAAACCTGATTACATTAAATATCCTTGTAAGACCAAAGCTTTTCAAGCTCTGCTAATGGTGATATTATATCGAAACACCATTTGATGTACTGTGGAAATTATAACAGTCCCTTGGAATTCAATGAAAGTAGATTTGACCTGTATTTAAAATAATACACTATACCTTCTTACTATATTTAGGTATTTTAAAACAAGATTGCATAAACCAAAGGCAACCTTATATCATAAAATGAAGCATGCCTATTTCAACTTCAGAATCTTATTATTCACTAAGTATATATTCAAACCTTAGGTGAGACAAGAATAATTCGTGAGGGTTTAAAAAAATTTGGACTGGCCATAACTTTATTAATTAATGGACTTTATGTACCATAATGTCATTTCCCCCCCTATATTCACTTAGGAGGGAAATAATTAATTTGAAGAATAATGTGCCTACTTTAAATTACTAAAATCCAATTTTTCATGAACATTTTAAAAGAAATACTTCTCCACCAAGTTTTAAATGTAAGTAGTTCAATGATAAATGATTGAACCCTACTGAGATCAAATTTCAAGCTAAAATGATTTAAGTCAATTTCAAGCAGTTTAATATAATGTTGCATACTAAAATGCACCATCACGTTAATAATTTAAAAATACAGGTACATATATGTTTCACAGAAACACAGTATTCCCACAGTATAAGGCAAGCCACAACTACTATAATCTCTGGATATCATACATTATTTACAATGTACATATCATAAGAATATTAATAAATTACACATACACATGTCACATAAAGAGGTTATCTACAGATGAAACAAAATTCAAGTTACATTTTTGAAGTCTTTGGATACCATGTTATTTACAAATGTACACAGCAGGTATAGTAAAATAAAACTGAAGAGCATACAGCTGAGCAACGTCTGAAAATTAAAAAACACTATTCAAAATTAGGTCAAAGGAGAGAAAATACTTCAAATAAAATTACAATCTTTTGCAGATTTCAAAAAAAGCATGCAATTTTGGGGGAATTAAAATATAATTTCTATGTTACTCACAAGGAGCTACATTCTGCTTGCAAATTTAAGCAATGTAGTATGATAAAAAGTTAACGGAACCCCAACAAACAGGTCAAAAGTATCTAGTTGTGTTGAGCTCCATGACTGGTTCTCCTATAATGGATCCCCGCTGGACACTACTGTATGCTGCTATACCAGGTAAGCATACTCAACACACAATTCATTTTGAAATCATAGCTTATAGTACACGTTAAAATGATTGGTCTCAATATGCTTATTTTTTTAATCTGGTTTGAACAGTAAAAGATAAAGGAAAAACATGGATCAAAATAGCATTTTGCTAGTAAGTAGGATTCAACAACTATATCTTTATATGAATAGTTTTCTTGGTACAAAGGAAAATGCAAAAATAAGCAAAGAAATATTTTAAATACTGGTTTGGAGCTTGTATTCCTTCAACAAGAATCATTATGCTAATACTGTAGGCACCCACTTCAAGCTCCACAACTCACATTCTTAACAAATTGATAGCCTACCTGATATGCCATTCCTGCTGGTGTTCAATAAAGCTACAGATGCTGCAGAAACTCTTTTATTGTTCACAGTCTGCCCTGGTTTCCTTGAGGTACATTCTTCACTATCACTGTCCTGTAAATTTAGTAGCCTTGGCTGGAAACACTGTAGTCGACATGATCTGATATTGCTTAGTATTTCAGAAAGGGACAGTCTGTTTTCACAATGTTTATTGGAAGCATTGGTCCATGAGAAATTAGAAGAAAAGTCTACAGTTTGGGAAGAGCTTGAAAAACCATTCAGCATTTCAGGGTCTAGCTGTTTCAGGACAGGGTCATGTTCTGTGGATATCCGGTCCATTATGACCCTGAAAAACAATATATGATTAATTACTAACTATAAGAGCTTCATAAATATTTTCTTTATTTTTCACTGCCTGAACAGATTGAAAACAAATAGTTTACCTTCCACCTCTGCCAATTCTCCTCCTTGCGAATCCTATACATCTTCTTGGGACAGTAAGAGTTGTAAGGCAGTGCCTATATCTCAACTTATCTAAATCTGCCAGTTCTGAATTGTCATTTGAATGGTTAGTTTGGTCCAAACGAGGCTATAACAAAAAGAAAAAAATAAAATGAAACATATAGACTAAGATGAGAAACAGTCAACAGTATGTTAAAAAAAAAAAACCTAATTTTAAAAACCTCTAAGTTTAGTAGCATTTAACAACCAAAACCTAAACAAAAGGTTGTTCTAAGCAGCTCACTGCATTTTTTGGACAGCTCTAAGTATTAGAAAATTTTTCTTTATCTCCAGCCAGATCAGCAACTTCTGAGGCACCTAGGTGGTGCAATGGATAGAGCTCAGGCCTTGGAGTCAGGAGGACCTGAGTCCAATCCAGCCTCAGACACTTAACATTTACTAGCTGTGTGACCCTGGGCAAGTCATTTAACCCTATTTCCTAGCCACAATTAAAAAAAAAAGACCTACAAAAAGACCTACAACTTCTGCTTATCATTTCTACTTTTGCGTTCTTGGGCCCAGTACAGTAGAACAAGTGTAATACCTCTTCCACAAGATAGATCTTCAAATATGTGACGCTAAATATCTCTTCCCCTCCCACCCACCTTAAATCATCTTTTCAGTAAAAACATACCCAATTTCTTCCATAGATCCTTATAGTGAATGGTCTTAAATTTACTTATCATCCTGATTCTTCACACTGGAATAGCTCCTGCTTGTGGGTACACTTCCTAATATATGCCACTCATCCCCATATACATTAAGTTTAATTAATGAGAAATGTAATTACACTAGTTTTCTTGGTTGCTATACCACACTGCTCATTTACATTAAGAAATTCACAGAATTAAATGAAAAATGCACTTACTAAAAGCCTCTACTTTGGGCTAATTATTTTAGAAGATACATATTTTTAAAAGACTAAGATGGTTCCTGATATTGAGGCCAAAGTTTGGGAGTAGTGCTATCACCAGATTATAGATGTCGTGGTTTAGGAAACTAGACAGAAAAGAATTTAATTTATAATTTATAATAACTAGGAATAGTCCTTGAAGCAGTAGCATTGGTCAAATTTAAGCTTTCTATACATTTACCTTCAAAACAATGATCCAACCAATTGCTTTTCAGTTCCTATTTCCCTTCACTAAAAAGACTAACCTCCTGTTATCCTCTGCCTTCTGTTCCTTTAAAAAATAATTTTTGTGTTACTGCTGTGGCTACCTCAATAAACAATTCCCAACTACTATCTTTTAAAAAATTTTAATAGGAGAGACAAACATTATGTGTGTGGGGCTGAAGATTACTGAGACTGACTGATTTTTCAAAAAGCACTTGAGAACTAGTCTAACTACCTTAACAGTCAATCATACCTTAAACATTAATTATATTACTTAAAATTAAAGCAACCAGAATTTTGGGCTGACTGGCAGGTTTTTTGCATCTTTTGTATAATTAATTCTTTGGGGTTATACTAAATGTATTTCAACCATTTTACCTGTTAGCACAAACTCAACAACACATGAATTTTATCTAAATACACACACACCTTCAATAGACAAACTCCTGTCTAGTTAAACCAATTAGCTAACCGAATGACTAGATAAAATACTGCCATGTAACAGCTTTAAAATTACCATGGTCACATTTGACACCCGAGTGGATATGCAGATTAATATCTTGCATAAGTCAAACAGTTTTCCAAAAGTGAAATGTTTTAAAAGTATATTGATGCTTTTTGTTTATGAAGTCATTTTTGAATATATAATAGCACTACGCTCACCCTGAATTGAACCCTAGAATTGAAATCTTCGATAAATTCTCCGCAGCCAATAAATCCATAGTTAAACCAAAAATGTAATGAATATAGATGAGAATCCACAAATAAAAGTGCCTGATGAACTTAGGAATGACTGACTTACTATTTTTTAGCTTCTCTTCTTCACCCAGTAGTTGCTAAATAAATATTGCTTACTAACATCCCACTGCCAGATCAAGAGAATGGTACCCTGATATGATTCTATTCCAGTTCACAATACCACACAAAAGTAAAATTCTTACAGCAAAATACTGGCATCCTGCCCTCCTCCTGAAAGCACAGGGACCATCAGGATCATTTTCTTCTTCAGGTTCTGAAACTGGTGATGGTACCTAAATGGAAAACACATTTCATTTTTAGGTAAGAATTCATTTCATAGTTCTATCTTTAAATATTTCTAAAATCAGAATTCTGGCCATAAATAATGATCACAAATTATAAAGACTTCATTTCTTCCCAAAACATTATTTAAATGCTATTATTTTGGTTTGAAATGTCATCCACACTCTTCTGAAATCTCCCAGATAAGTACATCAAGAAAAATAAAACATTTTAAGACATGTGATTATTTCTTACTAGCCTGAATAAAAACCTAGTTCATCTCAAGTGACTGGTGCTCTGTTGTTGTTGTTGTTTGTCCTTTGTTCTGGAATAGGACCATGACATCAGCATGATGATGTCATGACCTGCTAGTGAATTGGACTTAAGTGAGGGAGGGCTGTGCAAAGTCACCAGCCTCATTCTCTTCTCTGGAGCCATCTGGGTCCAGTGACAAGATATAGACTTGGCTGCAATAAGAGTATTTGGCCTTTTTAAGCTAAGGTCTTTCCCAGATCTCAATTTGACTGAGGAAACTCTCATTCAGCGATTAAGGCTAGGTAAGAAGTGAGCAAAGAATGGCCTCTTTACCTATTAAAAAAAAATTAATCTGGGAAGGGAAGACCCTGAGGGTTTCTATCCAAAACAGAAACAATTGCTATTTACATTCACTCTGAGCCATCAGGACCCAAACAATGACCACTAGTGGGGCTTGGGCTGAGACCTACTGTTGGCCAATCAATGTAAGCCAGAGTGAATTGGGTTTAAGGAATGGTCCTTAAGAAAGAAATCTAGCAGTGAACCCCCAGATATCTTGTAAGGCTTCAACCATCAAGATTTATACTCCTTTGGGCACAGCTGGTGCTCTGTAGGGAGCAATTTATATAGAATGGGCTATTTTTATATAGAATGAAGTGAAGGGTGTCAAAAAGCTTCCAGGCACCAAAATGTTCCTACCACCAACTTCCCACAGTTAATGACCTTTAGAACCCTTCTTTCAGGGTGACATTATCTTCAAAAGATTCCTGTTAAAATATGGAGTGACATACTGACTTTGCCACCTGTTAATGCACTGCTTTGTGAGGTACCGTGAATGGAGGGTTGACTTTAGAATATGGGAGACTTGAGTTTAAGTCTTATCTCTGGAACATTTTAGCTATAGGATCACAAGTAAGTCACTTAGTATTAGGCCCCAGGCAACTGTCTAAGACTATAAATTACAGACAGGTTGCCCATCTCTATGTTGGAACATATTTCCACACTGCTGAAATTAGAGGCTTAGCCTCGGCCCCATCCAAATTTAAACAGACAAGCTAGTATACAGCTGGGTCCTAGAGACACAGGACTGAAATGAGGAGTGGGAAAGGGCTGAGAATGAAAATGTAGTCTGTTGGTTTACGTAGTAAAAAGCAAAGAACTAAGGGCCCAAGTATGGCACAACGGGTTCTTGAGGAGCTCAGAGGAACAAAAAAGACACAGGGAATATGTTAGCGAGATAAAAAGCAAAGCCAAATAGGGAGCCCTCAGAGAGGGGACACGGCCAATAAGGCACTAAACAAAGAATCTGAAGGCCCAGGGTTCCAGGATCAGCTTTGCTAATGTGTGACCTTGGATAAGTCACAAACTGTACAGTATTCACATCTTTAAAATAAGTTAATTAGATGGACTAATACCCCTTCAAGTTCTAACATTTTGTGACTTTCTAACATATCCAAACAAATGTACTTTAAAATGTAAATATTTAATAATTTTAACAACACCTCATCTATCCAACAATCTCACTTGCCTAAAATACAGCCAAGCACCAGGAAGTAAGCAAAAAGAGGCCTCTAAGCAGTTAAAATAGATGTAATAATGTATATGCACTGAAGCTCATGCACATTATTCACAAGAGAGCTCTTGGCTCCTCATTAAGTATTATTTACTCTTACTTGACACAAAATTCGTGCAAACTTGGCTATCTGGTTTTCAAGCCCACAGATGAGAAGCAGAAAATAAGGAGTCTGTTAAGGACTGTGAAGCTGATAGCAAAAAGAAGTGACAGCTGACAAAAAGGTTTTAGATAGAAAACCTACAAAAAACACAGTAACCTAGGGATATTTAACATAGGACAAATGGTCCTGTAATAAACAAGTTGTCAAGGAAAAGTTAAATTACAAGTATACATCATTTTAGAAGACAATAAAGTATATAATACATTTTAAGAATTATATCCATAATGGTCACAACGAAGAAGTTTGTCACTTAGAAGACTATCAGTTATCTGGAAAAGTTATTCATTTGCAACACCGATGTTAGGAAAATGAGGCATTACTGTATCATATTTGCTTGAACATTTTATCAAAAAGCTGTATTCCTACCTTGAGGAGGAAATCAAGAAAAAAAATTTTTCCCATATAATGTTACCTTTTGTTTTGTCTGCCACTCCACCTTAAAAAAAGCAATTATGACTTCTACCTGAGCCTCCTAAAAAAAATTAAAGAACATTAACTAGTTGAATGTGTTTCTTTACCAAAGCAGGCAAAGGATTAAAGGAGCAACAGGGGAAATATAGGTGCTTATTTTCTGGCTAGAGGGAGGGAAAGGTGCCTCAACCAGCTTGCCTGGGAAAGAACTACTGTAAGTAGCACTGAGCAGACTCAGTTTGAGAAGAAAGGTATCTGTTTGAGGTGCTAATGTACCTCCACAACCCCATGGGGAGCCAGTGAAGCAGTGAGCTGGGGCTGCAACAGCTGCCTGGTTCTTCTTCCCTGGGGAAAAGGGTACTTAAGCCCCAAATCTGAAACTTGAAAGGAAAGGAAATCCCAAATGTGAGTATCATCTTTTCAGTCACTTTGCACATTATCTCTTTCTCCTTCTCTTCAACTACCCCCATCTCCAGTAACCTCTTCTCAGTTCTATCTTTTTGTTCTCCTCCATACAAGTATCTATACAAAGGAGCTATTATTAAGACTCTTCCCTAAATCCCTACACAAAATGTTTATTTCTTGTAAAATTTTTCAGGAACCAGAGTAGAACAAAGAGGAAGTGATGTCAGGATCTACAGGGCAGGAACACAATTCTGGGTACTAGTTCCAGTTCTTACAATAACAATATGGAATTTGGAGTCATGTTAAATTATATCTACAAGTTCTAGATAAATATCACAAAATCAAAACACTTTAAAACAGTTACTACTAATTGTTGTTTAACTTTGGGTGATTCATTGTCCTTGAAAAACAGAATCTCAAAATATTTATTAAAGGTTGCCATTACCAAGAGCCAGTGATTTGTGCTACCTTATATTTAGAACGAATTTATGATGAGAAAGAGTAAGAGAGAAATTATGTGAGTAAATGTAGTTAAGCAGAAATAGTGATTCTGAGATACACTAAGCATGAGAATATTATCATACTAAGTAACATCCATGTACTATTCAGCCCTGTACTCTTATCTAACAATGAACTCAAGAGATGTTAGGGAAGGACCTGGCATCAGTGGTAAACAGTTAAGGATGTACTTCAAACTGAGATGTCTCTCAGATTTTCCTAATTCATTATGAATCTACCACACACAAATTTATCTAATACTTCTTGAATCCATACAGCCAGGCTGAAATGCACAAACAAGTTATATCTTAAAAATTCATTTATTAAGTTTGTTATTTGCATAATGAAATATGTTTTCCTACAAAAACAAATTATAAATAGTTGTTAAGTTTCTAGGCTAACCCAACTAAACCTATTTAATCCACTGTGGTACTGTGCTGTAGTCTGTCACAACGTTTCTAGGGGTAAATGTGTTTAGCATTTCAATTTGATATTTCAGGTGACACTTGCTCAGTATAGCCCTTACAAGTATGAAGTCCATTTTTTATAGTTCAAGCTACCTTCCAGGAGGTGATATTGGTAGCAGAGAAAAAGTCAATAGACCTGCTTCTAAGAAAGTGACCTAAGGATTATCAGTCAGAAGCTGTCTAACAAACAACACCTGATAATCTCTGGCCTGCAGGGTTAGTAATTAACTACTTTTCTATTTCAGAATTTCTGTGGTAGTAAATCACTGGTATTATCTAGTGAATTCAATTCAATTCAATTCAATTCAAAATAGGATGGACCTGTAATTTCACTAGCATAAGGAAATCCTAGATGAGGATCCTTCTACCAAAGCATTGCAATTTGCAGTCTTAGAGCTTTACTTAGGATTGTTATTTGATAAGGATCTCACAGCCAGTATGGGATTTAAAGCAAGGTCCACTACTCTATGTTGCCTATTCTATGTAAAGCATTAAACATAATTATGCAAGAGCAGCTTAAAATGTACTTTAGATCAAGAATTAGCATGAAAAAATGTCAGCAGGGTTTAGCAAACCTGAAGATTCAATATAAATCAAGTTATAACGCAGTTGGGGGGCAAAGAGGCAACACATCTACAGTAAGTACATTGACAGTTCTACTGTACTCCAGACTAGATCAAATGAGATTAATACTTGTAAAAAAAAAGTGCTTAGCACAATGCTTGGCACAAAGTACATTCTTAATAAATGCTTACTTCCTCATTCCCTTTCTTTACGCTGATAGACTTCACTAGCATTGTCTTCAGTTCTGAGCATCCCATATTAGGCAGAACATTAAAAAACTATACAGTATGCCCAGAATAAGGTAACTAGAATAATGAGAGAACTGAGGAGTATGGCATAATAAAGCTGCTTCAAGGGGCAGCTAGGTGGCACAGTGGATAGACCTTTGGCCTTGGAGTCAGGAGGACCTGAATTCAAATCCAGCCTCAGACACTTGACACTTAGTAGCTGTGTGACCCTGGGCAAGTTGTTTAACTCCAACCACCTCACCAAAAAGCAAAAAAAAACAAAAAATAAAACAAAAATGATGCCTCAAGAATCTAAAGAAAACACGTAAGCGGATGTCACGATATGAAGTGTTCTTATGTGAAAGAGGGATTATTAAGACTTGTTTTTTGTAAACCCAGAAAACAATTTTGCTTTGCAGAGACACAGATAATGGCTTGATGTAAAGAA